CACAGAAGTCAGAAGCCTGTTCGAGGTGACTAAGGCCGGACAAGCGGAAGCTGAGATTAGGGAAAGACAATTGACATACTCGGTCGCCATAGAGACCATGGAGAGGAAGAGAGCCGAGCAGAGTACGCAAAAGAGTAGAACAGATCTCAGAAATTAAGAAAGAGCGAAGGCGGAGGAGAGAGAAAGCTACGTGACACGAGCAACAAACTACAGAAAGAGAGGGAGAAATAAAAAGAGACTGAGAGAGAGAGATGAGATAAGTTCTTATAGTGACAGGAGAGAAAAGACAGAATTAGAGAGAGAGAGAGAGGAGAGCTCTAGAGCTCTAGGAGAGAGAGCTGTCATAGAGAGCCTAGAAGAGCTGCTAGAGAGAGAGAGAGAGAAGAGAGAGAGCAGAGTAGAGAGAGAGAGAGGCAGAGAAAGCCAAGAAAGAGGAAAGCAGAAGAGAAGGAAAAGAAAGAAGGAAAGAAAGAGAAATAGAAGAGAGAGAGAGAAGCAAGTCTAACTCGGAAAAATCTGCTCTCTCAAATTATCCTCATGCGTGACCGAGAGAGAGTTGACGCGGACAGCGACAGCTCTCGTCGCTCACACATCAGTAACGGGACCATTGCAGACACCACGCCTCTCTATCTCCGTCGGCCCCAGCCGCGGTTACACATCCCACACAGAGCTATCACAGAGCAACTACTGCACCCATATCCGTGTGACAAACAACATATACGTGGCCGACGGGCCCGCAAGCAAATATCCCTACGACGTAACAGCCAACTGAACATACCACGCATGGTCTATAAAGTAGTAATCGGCGCGAGTATATAGGCCGCTAGCAAGCGATGGCTACCCACTGCATAACGGCATGCATCGGCGGTAGAAGTGCTCACTAGCAAGGTACATTAGAAGAACTCTATTCATGCCTATCTACTATGCAAGATAGCGGGTATGAAGAAATGCGCTATTCTTAGAATGCCATTCTTATACGCTCTTGGCTATTATCGTCATGGTTTATTGTGACTAAGTTGATTCTTTATATATCACATCATAATCATATCATTTCATTTATTATTTTTGCGTAATATTTCCTTGGGAGCATGTTTACCGCCAGGACGTTGGTGTTTGTTCGAATATCGGATGACGTTTCATCCGACTGGCTCGGACAGATACGTACGATGATAGCTAGTATAGTATATATATACTATACTATATATATAGTATAATTATGTACTTAGTACCGCTTAACGTAAAATTTAAGCAATCCCACCAAGTGCGATCGAACACAGATGCGATTGCTGTCCGGATTGCTTAATAAGGCAATAGACAGGCAATCTCAAGACCTTGATCCTAAGCAATTCGCGACAGGCCGAGCAAGTTGCGACCGACTGATCCTAAGCAATCGGACAAGGGAGGCAAGCGGAGACATCGATCCTAAGCCAATTCGACAAGCAATCGAGACTGATCTAACCCAAGACTGATCTTAAGCAATCGAGGACTGATCCTACAGTCAATCAAGACTGATCCTTATAGCAATCGGGAGACTGATCGCTAACTAACGTCAAGACTGATCCTAAGCTATCGAGATCTGATCCTGAGAAGCATCGACAATGTGCACTCGAGAAGATATGTCAACGATGTTGAGAGTCAAGACTGCATCCAAGACCGATGCAAGCAAGATCAAGACTGATCACCACAGACGCAATCAACAAGCAATTTAAGACTGATCCAGATTGATCAACAAATTCAAGGACCGATGCGAGCAAGCAGGCAATCCAATGCGGTCACTTACTTTTAAAATAGAGTGCCCGTGGGATACAGCTCGTTGGACAGCACCATACGCCATAGCGCTAATCAGCGGTGGTTAACCGGCGAATCCACTTCATGTTGGGTATATATAGCTGCGCAGCCGCGTGTACATAAAAGGGGGCAGCGGAATTGGGTAATGTGATCGAGCTAGGTAAGGAGGCAGGAGAGGATGGAGGGCAGGAGGAGAGGAGTGAGCACCAGATATAGGGGAAGGTCGAAACAGGTGGGATGTGGAGCAGGAGGGGGAATGGAGAAGGTGGTGGATTGGGATGATAGAGAAGCGGAAAAAAGAAACTGGGGGTATGTATGGTGGCGCGTGGGGAAAGCTCTAGCGTAGAGGTAACTCTAAGGGCCGTCCGCGTACATCTTTGTATTTCTTCCATGTATGCACTATCTCTAGTATACGAAGCATCATAACTTCATGCTAATAACAGCGATGTTTATAATTAATACTATATAGGGCAAAGTCCAAGCAACCAAGCTTCACCAACTCAGCAGCGCGTCACTACTAGCCCCATGTTCCTGATTGACGCTAGGAAAAAAATCACGCCTACGGGTTCGGTGGAGGGGCCGTACCGGCCTGAGAGGTGCTTCGAGACGACACGGGTTACGGTAGTCCATGGCGTTGCTTTCGCGCACCAAACCTAATGCCCCCCCGTTGAAATTAATTCACGGACTTAATTAATCTCTAGCCTAATAGATTCTAATAAATCTAATTATTTTAAATTATTACATTAATATAATTTAGGCTATAGCCTACCACTAGTTTTTGTGTTGGAATATGGGATTTGTCAGTTCAAGGGACCGGCGGGGAGGGGGAGGAGACGCAAATATTCCGCAAAGCAAAAGTTAACATCCGGCATAGATTGCCTTCTCCTCACTCCTGTTTTTTAGTAGCGAGCGAGTATGTAAGGGATGGGGCGAGCGAGACCGAAGTTAGTGGGTTAGGGAGAAGGAAGGCAAGCGCCATTTTCAAAGTAATGGCAGCGATTGAGCTTAAGCGAGTTCATTGATTGCTTAAGCAACTACGTCGACTCTCACTTAGGACTGATCAAAGGCAGTCAAATGATTGCTAAGGAGATGAAAGCGCTCGAATGTGTGCAGGAGGAATAGCTGGTAAGGCATGATCGTCGATTGCTTAATAAGGCAAATGCGGCGACTGGGGGATCGGGGCGTTAAGCAATCGGATCGATGGCCGGTACCCGATGCCGTGCATTCCCCGGCGATCTGATGATCGGTGCCACCAAGCGGGCCCGGGACTTGCCGTATTGAGGCAATAGAGAGAATCGGTCCCGCCCCCTGGAGGTGGTGCTTATTATGCCGATCAGAAGATGAGCGTCCCGCGCGAGAGGCAAACTCGATGAATGGTCGCTGATTGCTTTATAGCAATTGCAAGATAAGCGATGCCTCTCACCGGCATTGAGTGCTATATTTGAAGCACTCGTCTGATTCGCTGTGGATTGCTTGCTGATTGCTTAATATTTGTTGTAAGGGTATAAAAGAGCCTATTGTTAGCATGATATCAGTGGCGGCGTCAACGCTGTTCAGCCGGGTTATATGTTCCGTTGGTGATATCAGAGATCTCACACAGCAGATCAATGCGACAATTAACAGCCTTCGCGCGAAATGCTTAATGACTCCGGGATTTCACCATTACTACGAGTACGGGTTACAGAGAAATAGATAGGGGCAAAAGACAGTAGAGAGGGCGTGGGAGAAGAGAAGAAAGAGAGAGAACGAGAGAAAGAGAGAGGCGCGAAGAAAGAGAAAGCAGAGGAAGGAGAAGCCAAGAGAGACAGAGAGCAGAAGGAGAGAGAGAGAGGCGCGCGAAGTCAGAGAAAAGAATTGCGAGAGAGAGAGAAGAGAGAGAAGAGAGAGAGAAGTAGAGAAAAGAGAGAGGAGAAGAGAGAGAGAGAGAGCGAGGAGAGAGAGAGAGAGAGGACGGGAAGGCGAGCGCGAACGATATAAGAACGTCGTATAGGTCGTCTACACTATCACATTACCGCGCCAGAATAGGTTAGGTCAGGAGAAGCCACTACTACAAGGGAGGGGGTCTGTAACAGGCCCGCCGCGCAACAGCAAGGTACGACCGCCTCTCTGTCCGGCCGCAGCCCTGTTCACAACATCAAACAGTCGGTATATCTGCCCTGACATGTGTACGCCGCATCTGTCACATCAGACCACAACCACAATGCTGCTTGGTTCCTCACACTAGGGTGCGTGAGGACGTAACATCTGCCGATTGAGATGCGCGCGCAGCTGAGCAAGCGGCGCCGGCGTGTGTGGTGTGTGTGTGTGTGTGTGTGTCGTTTGCTGTTGTGGCTGTGTTTGTGTGCGTGCGTGCGCGTCGCGCCGTCGCGCGTGTGTATGTCTGTGGACATGTCCTGTGTGTGTGTGTGCGTGCGTGCGTGCGTGCTTGCGTGTGTAACAGCAGCGAAGAAACAACAATTGATGTTTGTTTTTAGCAGCCCGAGAAGAAGACGTCGTTGGAAGACTGCCAAGCCTGCTCCAGGGTGAGGAAATGCAGCAAGATTCTTTTCCTCTGTCCAGCACGCAGACGTGGGCCACCGCTCGCAAAAAGTGATACATGCTTGCTGCTACGTGCGAAGCTAGTGCCTCTACTGAGCTACTACTGTTGGGCAATGCTCTCAAACCTAGGCGCTATAGTGTCCAACTCGTCGTCACGCGATAGCGACTAGACAACGACTTAGACATAGTGGCTAGGTTTGAGAGCATGGCAACGGTATTAGTAGGAGCAGCTATAGCTTCGCAGCGTACAGCAAGAGCATTGTATCACTTTTATGTGTCCCATTGTCAAAGTACGACCATAAAACCGGGCACAGCCATCATCATTAGGTTTGTTCGCATCCAGCACTTCCCAACCTTTCAGTTTTATTCATCGTAACTAGCCCGTTCCCTACTCTTCCCTGCCGCCGCGTCCATCTGTAAAGGCGCCCACGAAACCCATTACCAATTCCATACTAATCCCACTACTAATCCATACTAATCTCATACTAATACCAGATACTAATAAACCGCTTCAGCACACCACAAGCAGCCAATGGAAACTGAGACACTTCGCCTAGAGGCCGGTACCGGCACGAGCCACTACTCCGAACTGGCGCGTGGGATCAGGACGAGGACTGCCCCATACCATGCCCATGACATATGTCAGGCAGCATCGCATCTGCGACCGTCGATCCGCGGAGACGACGAGGTTTATGCCCCGCAACACCGAGCGGTTTTTGGCGAGCAGATCCAGAGCGCATTACCCAGCCCGCGCGCCGCCGAGGACACCCCCAGGAACCAGGCCCTTCGACACACCCAGCTGGCACCACCTTAGAAAGAGACATCGGGATGACATCACATGCACCTGGAGTGCGGCTTCGCGAGTGCCTGAACGCTGCATGCGGCAGCCAGGCCGGCGAGGATGGCTGACCGCCAGAGTGCAGCGCGTACCACCCAACGCTGCGACCTGACAGTAGCCAGGCATGCAATCAGTCGTTATCACGACAAACCTGGACCGATCGCCGCGGATCCGACTTCAATCCAGGTCTCTGTGAGAAGGCAGCAACCATGACATTCAACTGCAGACATTCGTACACTCTAGAGCGTCGACCCAGATGACGATAGGCATTCACGCCAGCAACGTAGCGCGAGAAATGCCCAACCTGCAGTGCGAGGCTGTGCAATCGCCCGCAACAATCGAGCCAACATGTCGGCCGCGTTGAGGTCCTCACAGGACACCTTCACGTACTTTCCTGCCCGTGGGGCCCACAACCGCTGCAGACCACGACTAACGGAATCCAGGACGAACAGCACGGACATAACTTCGCACCAAATTTTTCCCGCGCAATTTTACCCATGCCGCATCCCACTACGCCGGAGACCCAATTTTAAAGCACTTGTACTGTCACAACCACTTTAATCCCACCGCAGCCTATCCACCTCCACCACCATCCAGCGGTCACCCCGCACCGAGCCTATAACGCAGACCTAACACAATAGCATATCAGCGCATGGTTTAGATCGCTGACTAACCAGGGAAGATGGAACTGGTGGGATGTCTAACTGGAGGTTTCTGAGAAAACTGTCAATAGTATTCCAGAACCGCAACGACAACCACGAACTGACCATGATGGCGCCGATACCGTTCACAATGGAACACGGGCGAAGGGGTGTTCAGCCCTCTTTCATTATTATAACTACACATAACACATGTGCCTTAGCTATACCCCTCGTTAAATTATGAGTTTTATTGAAGCACCGATTAGTCTCTAAACTTAATTACTAGCGGACACATTGTACGTGTATGCCATACAGCGCTGTACTTAAGCGGCAGCGGTGTGGATCGCCCCCATTTTGGAAATCAACATGACGTCCACGATCGACGTGACCGGATTTTTTTCCGACTCGTCCCCCTGCTTCCGGGCAACTCCTTCTGTATATAGGGACCGGCGCTAGTGTACTCATCCGGAAGGGCGCCCCTGTTGGGCGCTTTGATTCGCCGTGATGTGCGTTGCTGATGAAGACCCCCGCGCCGGGTATCTGCTAGCCGGGCGCGGGCCCTGGGCACGTGTGACCTGCGTGGGGATGAAGAGTCCGAGGTTGTAGAGTATAAAAGATAGTGCAAAACGGCAGTGTAAAACTAGCATCCCCTCTACTGCTCATTTTATTTATTAGTCGTATATCCGTCAGGCGAGAAGCAGAGAGTCTCCGAGGCGGGGCGCTAGGCCCGGGCGGGGCCGGACGATCGGGGCGGCCCCCCGTCACGGCGAGAAGTTATGAGGCGAGCGAGCGGCGCGGGCCGGCCATAATTGAGCACCGCAAGTACAGCAGCGACAGGTTGTCCCCCAGCCTGGCAGCCCGAAATTATCCACAGCGACTGTACATGGTAGCTTTACCATATAATGTATATATATTATATATATACTATATAAATAAATTAAATATATATATATTAAATAAATAAATCTATATATTATATATGATATATATTATATTATATAATATATTATAATATATTTATAATATATATTTATTTATTTATTTATTTATGTATATTATGACACCATTTACCATCAGTCAGAACATCCTCATTATTTATCCTCTTTGTGATATATCACTATCAAGATAACGATGAAAAAAGTATCCGCCATAAAAAAATAATTCCGATATCTAGCAACAGAGATTGTTTACATGTTGTCGTTTTTTGCTAAGAATTGTTTTTGTTTTGTATATTGAAGCTTCTGATGTTTTGTTCTAGCATGATGGGAAGCCGTATTGCCATCAGCCGTGCTATTCAGCTATGTTCGGCCCGGGAGGTAAGTTACACATAGATGCAATCATATCCTCACCAATTATTTGATAAAAGAACACCCACACACGCCCGCGCACGCACGCACGCACGCGCGCGCACACGCACACGCACAAACACGCACGCACGCACACACACAAACACGCACACACGCACGCACGCACGCACACACATACATATAAATAAATAGGCAAATTTATTTATTTATTTATTTAATAACATATTAACGTGTGTATTTTCTAAGATGGTTTTCCGAACTGCTCCGAACTGTTCTGTGTGATGATTGGCAGGTTGTGGGCGTGGCGGAGCGGAGAGTCATGTCTACTAGCAGCTGTTCTGTGTGATGATTGGCAGGTTGTGGGCGTGGCGGAGCGGAGAGTCATGTCTACTAGCAGCTGTTCTGTGTGATGATTGGCAGGTTGTGGGCGTGGCGGAGCGGAGAGTCATGTCTACTAGCAGCTGTTCTGTGTGATGATTGGCAGATTCGCCAGGTTGTGGGCGTGCGGAGCCGCGGAGCAGTCACTGTCCTCCCTCACGCACGCCTGTCCTCCTCTCTGCCATTCGTTCCCCCCCCA